AGAGCACATCTGAATGGACAGAGGAATTTGGTGCTTATGGAGGGGCAGTAACAAGAGGTCGCAGTGAAGGGTTTTGGTAAGTGGAGAGGGGTGGGACGGAGCTCAGTCAGGGACAAGGAATACAGAGCTTTAATGAAAATAATGATACAGATCAAGATCCCTGGTGTATATGTGAGGAGCAGGTGAATTCCAGCTTGAGTGTCAACTGAAGAGAATAGTAAAGAGGGTGGGTGGGTTTATACCCGCAGTTTTTTTTTTTTTTATAATATATTTTATTGATTTTTTACAGAGAGGAAGGGAGAGGGATAGAGAGTTAGAAACATTGATGAGAGAGAAACATCGATCAGCTGCCTCCTGCATACCCCCTACTGGGAATGTGCCCGCAACCATGTTACATGCCCTTGACTGGAATCGAACCTGGGACCCCTCAGTCCACAGGCCGAAGCTCTATCCACTGAGCCAAACCAGTCAGGGCTTTTTTTTTTTTTTTTTTTTTTTTTTTTTTTTCAGAGAGAGAGAGAGGAAGGGAGAGGGAGAGAGAGAAACATCAACGATGAGAGAGAATCATTGATTGGCTGCCTCCTGCATGCCCCCTACTAGGGATCAAGCCCATAATCCAGGCATGTGCCCTTGACTGGAATCAAACCTGGGACCATTCAGTCCGCAGGCCAACGCTCTATCTGCCGAGCCAAACCAGCTAGGGCTATTCTAGCAGTCTTTAAGGAGTTGGGTTCTTGCCTAACTACTAAAAATCTGTTATACCTTGATAGAAGATGTATCTTGCTTGGTCAGAATAATTGAGGCTTACGTGTCGCAGACATGCTGAATTATTATTTTAATATACTTTTGCTTTTTATTGCCAGCATATCATTGAGATTATTTTTGCATCCATATTATTAAATAACAAATGGCATTGGCTTGTAATTTTCACTCTCTGTCTGTATGTATGTGTTTATGTATGTGTGGCATGTGCTTTGTCAGGTTTTGTTATGAGGATTGTGCTAGCTTTGTAAACATAGAGGTCCATTCTTTTCCACGCTCTGGGCTCTTTACCGAGCACAGACATCATCTGTTCTTTGTTAGCCGGAAAGAACTTGGCTAAGAAATTCTCTGAATGAGTGCTGTCCAATGCAGTATATTAAGCACTTGAAATGTGGCTAGTAAGACCAATGAACTAACTTTTTTATTTCTTATTTTAATTTAATTTTCCATTTAAAAATTGATACTCATCTCAGTTTTGGAAAACTTTTAAGTGTTTTTGGAACAACCTGGATATGTGAGTCTACTTTTTGTAAATTACATAAAATCTAAATATATAAAATATTTCTCATGAAAATGTAGCAACTCAGTTGAAATATACTTTAAATGCAAAATACACCTGGGAATTCAAAGCCTGGAATACCCCCAAATACAATGTATAACTTTTATATTGATTTCAATTTGACAAGATAATCTTTTATCATGGCCATCTATGTTGTTTAATAAAACATTATTAAAATTAATTTTACCTGTTCTGTCTCACATGTTCAGTGTGGCTGCTAGAAAATTTAAGGTTATATCTGCATTTGTGATGGAAATTATATTTCTATTAGACAGCATGGTTCTGAACCATATGGTTTCCTGAATTAGTAAAATTTTCTCAGATTTTTCTAAAGCTATTGGTACATTCAGTTTTCCTATCTCTCCAGACTAAATTTTGATAATTTATATTTTTCTCAAAAACATCTATCTCAAATATATTTTTAAATGTGGGAATATCGTGTTTTACAAATATTTTATTATTGATTGATTGCTTTAATGTTAAATCGGTTCTGAGACATATTAACAAATTCTGTTTTTATGGTCCATTCTTTTGCATACTCTGGGGCTCTTTACCTGGCACAGATGTTATCTGTTCTTTGTTAGCTGTTTTTTGTTTTTGTTTTTGTTTTTTTTTTTGTTTTTGTTTTTTTTTAATTAAATCTTTATTGTTCAGATTATTACATTTGTTCCTCTTTTTCCCCCCCATAACTCCCCTCCTCCCAGTTCCCGCCCCACCCTCCGCCCTCACTCCCCACCCATTGTCCTCATCCATAGGTGCACGATTTTTGTCCAGTCTCTTCCCGCATCTCGTACACCCCTTTCCCCCCCAAGAATAGCCAGTCCATTCCCTTTCTATGTCCCTGATTCTATTATAGTCACCAGTTCATTCTGTTCATCAGATTATTTATTCACTTGATTCTTAGATTCACTTGTTGATAGATGCATGTTTGTTGTTCATAATTTGTATCTTTACCTTTTTCTTCCTCTTCCTCTTCTTAAAGGATACCTTTCAGCATTTCATATAATCCTGGTTTGGTGGTGATGAACTCCTTTAGCTTTTCCTTATCTGTGAAGCTCTTTATCTGACCTTCAATTCTGAATGATAGCTTTGCTGGATAAAGTAATCTTGGTTGTAGGTTCTTGGTATTCATCACTTTGAATATTTCTTGCCACTCCCTTCTGGCCTGCAAAGTTTCTGTTGAGAAATCAGCTGACAGTCATATGGGTATTCCCTGGTAGGTAACTGAGTTTCTTTCTCTTGCTGTTTTTAAGATTCTCTCTTTATCTTTTGCTCTTGGCATTTTAATTATGATGTGTCTTGGTGTGGTCCTCTTTGGATTCCTTTTGTTTGGGGTTCTCCGCGCTTCTTGGACCTGTAAGTCCATTTCTTTCACCAGGTGGGGGAAGTTTTCTGTCATTATTTCTTCAAATAGGTTTTCAATATCTTGCTGTCTCTCATCTTCTGGCACCCCTATAATTCTGATGTTGGTACGCTTGAAGCTGTCCCAGAGGCTCCTTACACTATCCTCGCATTTTTGGATTCTTTTTTCATTTTGCTTTTCCGGTTGGGTGTTTTTTGCTTCCTCGCATTTCAAATCATTGACTTGATTCTTGCGCTCCTCTGGTCTGCTGTCGGGAGTCTGTATAATATTCGTTATTTCAGTCCGTGTATGCTTAATTTCTAGTTGGTTCCCCAATATAAGATCGAGGGTCTCATTAGTTTTCTTGTAGATCTCATTAAGTTTATCGGCGGCTTCTAAACAGTTCTTGAGAGACCTTAAAAGTGTGGTTCTGAACTCTATATCTTCCATTGACAATTTTGTCCTGTTTCTTTGTCTCCGCATTTTGTTATGCTTCCTTGGTGCACCCCCTAGTGGTCTTTGTTCGCAGTCCTATAAACCTTGATTGTTGTAGCTAATACCAGGGAGGGTTTGACCTCCAGGCCAGGTGGCTATTGTTAGCTGTTTTGATTAATTATCTATCTTCTTTAATATTTATTTATTCTAGTGTATTTTTTGAATCATCAAATTACTTTTTCTTATTTGTAGGAATTAAATCTTCATTTCTCTTCTAAAAATAGTTGAATTTTTTAAAAAAGGATATCTTCAATGAACAAGGAAGTTTATTTTCAGTTCTATAAACAAATTTTTTTTGCAGTATATTGCCTTGCTTCTAATTAACTAGATTTATTTTATCTATAGGTGTGTTTTTTTAGTATTTCATGTTATGAAGTGTTTTTTTCTCACAATATTACATTTAAAAATGAAACAGTATTACATTTAAAAATTCCCTGCGTATATGTTTCATTGACCCTTGTCCTTTCTTGCTTTGCAAACCATTTTTATAGAGAAAGCAATCACACTTTACTTTAAAAATGATCAACAATAGGTATAATGTTTCTAAAATTTAACATGTTCCAAGGATGTGCTAACTTGTTTGCTCAAATGTTCATATTTAGGCCTCACAATAGCCTTGTGAAGTATGTGCTGGTGTTACCCCCTGTTTGCAGATGGGGAAACCAGACCAGAAAAAACTAGGAGACCCATTGAGGTTTCCCAGCTGTGGCCCATGGGCTTCAGACCTCATAAGTCTAACACGAGAGATCACTCTGTTTGTGTCTCCTACACAGTACTAGAAGAACATAGCAGACATCTAGTATCAAAACAACATCGTTCATGCTGACTCAATTGTCAGGCAATTATGAGCAGTTATATTCAGTGTTAATAAATTGCCCAATGATACACTACTAGGGCTAGACTTTAGTCTCCCATAGTAGCCTCACAAAAATCTTTCAGTCATCTGTAATTGAGGTATACCTTCTATAAACAATTGTTTTCTGTCATCATTTTCAGGGCTGGGAAAGAAAAAAAATATCAATTAGCTACTTTTAAAATTTTTTTATGGATTTTAGAGAGAGAGGAAGGGAGAGAGAGAGAGAGAGAGAGAGAGAGAGAGAGAGAGAGAGAGAGAGATCAATGTGAGGGGGAGACATCGATCTGTTGCCTACAACTGGGATCAAACTCACAGCCTGACTGTGTGTACTGACCAGCCTTTGGTGCATTGGGGGACACTCAACCAAGTGAACCACACCGGCCAGGGCCCAGTTAGCCATTTTTCGTACCCTGTATCTCCAAATTAGAATTTTGAAGCCATACTTATATCTATAGAATGGTAGAAAAGAAGAAATATCATGCAATTTACTTCTTTGGGCAAGCAAAGGCAAACACCTGCCTTTTTGCCTCTAAACTCAAGCCCGTTTGGTATCAACTACCTTTTAAAATGAACTTGGCTATAGTATAGTCTCTTGTAAAAAGATTTAGATCGGTGGCTCTCAACCTTCCTAATGCCGCGGCCCTTTAATACAGTTCCTCATGTTGTGGTGACCCCCAACCATAAAATTATTTTCATTGCTACTTCATAACTGTAATGTTGCTACTGTTATGAATCGTAATGTAAATATCTGATATGCAGCATGTATTTTCATTGTTACAAATTGGACATAATTAAAGCATAGTGATTAATCACAAAAACAGTATGTAATTATATATGTGTTTTCCGATGGTCTTAGGCGACCCCTGTGAAAGGGTCGTTCGACCCCCAAAGGGGTCGCAACCCACAGGTTGAGAACCGCTGATTTAGATATTTAGTAGTGACAAATGACGTGTCATTAATTTGTAATTCTTTTCTTTCTTTTAAAGATAGTGTTTTTAGAAGAAGCATCTCAACAAGAAAAGCTGGCCAAAGAATGGGGTTTCAAGCCATGTGAGATAAGAGAACTGAGCCAACAGTAAGTCTTAGCCAACTTCTTCCCTTTTGTGGATGCCATTAACTCATCTCAAATGATAAGAAAACTGCCTTGAGAGGCAAAGAGGCTTTTTTATTTCCTTAAGGTTGAGGTGGGAAGGGGAGGTAAATAGAGGACAGGGACAGGAGCTTTGAGTACTAGAGGCCACCATCATTCATTTACTTCTTTGGCACATGTTTGTTGAGCTTAGTATGTGCAAGAACTGGGTTTCGAAGGTGAAAATGGTCTATAAAGCCTTTGTCCCCACAGTGTTTACAGCCCTTTACAGCCCCTGGGGAACACAGAACCCAAACAAGTGCACAGATAGGGAAGCATGACAGTGCTGGCTTGTGAACCTTCTGTAAAGGAAACAAAGAAAGAGCATGACAGAGATCATTGTTGGGAGGATCGGAGGGAGATTTGGGGAGCAATAGCTGACAGCATGGTGAGGTAAGGCCTAGCTCTAAAAATGTATTTGAGCTGCAATTTCATATTCCAACTATTTTTAGTAGTTTTAAATAATTTGCTCAAAACGCGTTTCTTGTGATTGCCCACATTCATCGTAGTCTGCTTGATTTGTTTCATGGAAATGGAGATACTTTTTCTTTTTTAACTCAACGATTTAATCTTGTTTCAGGCCACATATATTTCCAAAGTCAGTGAAAGTTCCCAAGTCAATCACAATCATTTTCATTCTAAAAACATTTAACTTGGAAAGTGACTTTAGTGTAATGAGAAGAACACTGAAGTCGGAATTAGAACACGTGGAGTGAATCCTCATGCTACAGTTTGTGGCTGTTAACTGTAATGCAAGCCACTGCCTTTCTCCGAACTTGATTCCTGGGCTGTTAGCAAAAGGATTGTCCTAGGTCACAGTGTCCCCTGCAGCAGATCTGTGAACTGTGTTACCCCGAAGGCTTTAAGGCAGAGGGGCTGACCACAGCCCAGAGAGACGGAGGTAACGGGCCATAAAATTTTGTTGCATTTATATTCACATCTCCTACCTCCTTCCCTCCCTCTGCTGCCTCTCTGTTGGCCTGCATGCTTGCAGGCAATGGGCATAGAGATGAATCCAGTGAGCATGGAGAGAATTCCAGTGACTTCTACTGTTACCGTCTGCTTCCTGTTGCTAGATTTTCATGAGAATGTATGTTGAGGAACAAGGCTTGCGTGCCTTGGGAATCAGAGATTAGAAGAAGGCTTGGGAGTGGATGAGGTGGAGGCTGGGAGGGAGGGAGAGGATGGTGAAGTGGTTGGAGGATGGGGAGGGGGCGTCACATTTGTGGGTCATTTTTTTGTACCTCCTTATGAGGCTGCTTTTGGAATTAAATTCATCAAAGAAATGAAGATGCAAAGGCACCGCTAAGCACAAAACACCAATAAGAGGTAAGGTAAGAAAAAAAAGTTAAACTTTGGTGGAAGACTGAAGTCTTTGAAGAAAAATCATATATAAAATGCAAAGTAATTTACATATTAAACACGTAAGATATATGCTTTTGAATTTATTTAAGTCAGTATTAAAATACCACAGAAGATGCTGTCTCTGGTCTTCTGTTTCATAGATTCTGTGTATCTACCAGTATAGGTCTCTCTCAGCACAAGGTGTATTTTTAAAAAAACATGAAAATTGCAACTCTGCGCAGTCCCTTGGTAGGAGTGGTTCAGATTGTGGCCACGGACCATAGAGGGGTTGGCAGGGCCAAGATTAGGGTGAGACGAGTGAGGCATTTACCTGGGGCACAGAATTTATGGGGGGTGGGGTGAGCAAAAACTCAGTAATCAACATAAATATCAGTTTAATGCAATATTTAAAAAAATCAAAATTAATGCCAAAAAAAAATCTGTGATGAACAAAATACCAAAAGTTTAAATAAAGATAGGATGTTGGTTTCATATCCTTGTATTTTGTGTGTGCAAGAAAAGAGTGGTTTTCAAACAGTCCTGTGCTCCCAGAGCAGGTTAACAATGTTGCTCAAAGAGATTGAGTCACTCGGGCCTTTATAGACAGTCATATGTTTTAATTCTAAAGCTTTTATTAAGGTTTTCCACTTGGTTAGAAGACAGGTGGATGTTTCAATAAGCATATGTAGGGCACACTTTGTTCTTTTTCCTTCGGTTCTAAGGCAGCCTGGCCTGCACTACAGGTTTGAAATATGAAATTGATGTTCTTTTCTGGTGGAAGACGAGATTTGCTAAGGGAATTATGATAGTGATTAAGTCAGGTGAAAAGAGGAAAGAAGAAAGGAGAGCTTTTCACCTTGTCTGCTTCCTTCAAAGCCCCATCTCTGCTTTGCCTGCAGCTTGACTTTTTTTTTTATTGTCTCAAGTTTTACATATGTCTTCTTTTTGCAGCTTGACTTTTGATGGCTATGATTTAGCTGTAAGTAAGGGCTGGGGTGAGGAACAGAGTTCTAATCCTGGCTGGACCACTAACGAACTGCACGTCTGAAAATGACCTTGGCATCTCTGAGCTTCCTTTGGGGCTCTGTGACCTCTAATCTCACATAACACACACACTCTAGCATGTGCTACTATCAGTAATATAAGTCCTTGACTAGACCTTGATTATGTGAATGTTTCTATTACTAAGCCTTCCACAATGCTTCCTGTGTCCTAAAAAGGATTGTTAGCTTTTCTGGATGAAAATCACATTTCTGATGTAATAATTCGCTGGTGTCCCGTTGCCTCAGAAGACTTTGCACCCTGAATTATCTCCTTTACTTCTTTTATCTCTGCTGCCTTCAGAGCATGCTTGGGCTTCTCCTAATGGAAAAAACGGTAGCTTTCTCCCTCCTCCCCTACATTACCATTCCAACATTCATTACCAAATATTTCCAGAGCAAGCTCTCCATCTGTCCAGCAGTTTCTCTGACACCTGTCCTTTGTGTTCATGGCCCTCTCCTCAGCTTCTTCCTCCCTTCATCATCTGTGATTAACCTCACACCAGTCATTCCAACTTGGGAGCTCTCTCTCTCCTAGCAGAGCTTCATTTTTCTATCTTGATCTCTATATACTAGTACTAGATGAATTAAGTCGTCTGTTTGCATCAGCTCTAACTGGATGTGGGATGAACAGTTCAATCATGGCCAAGAGAAAACAAGATGTAAACATATGGAAAACGACGACAGATGCTATTAAATTCTTTTTTTCTCATCTTAATTTCCAGTGAGTTCTTCATGCCTGGGCTGGTTGATACACACATCCATGCTGCTCAGTATTCCTTTGTTGGGAGTAACGTAGACCTGCCGCTTCTGCAGTGGCTGACCAAGTACACGTTTCCTACAGAACTCAAGTTCCAGAACTTGGACTTTGCTGAAGAAGTATATACTAGAGTTGTTGTAAGTATCCTGCTTGTGAGTGCTGGCGTATGATGTTTGGTCACCTGTAGAAACATCCATTACTTGGAGCATGTTTTAAGTATAGAACACAGGCAGGTTAAGGCTAGAATGGGCTATAGAGGTTTATTTTAGTTCTTTCATGGCCCACTGAGTTTGTGACCACCTCATCTACACAGCTAGTCACCAGCAAAGAGTGAACTTGAGTTCAGATTCCCTGATTCCCCAATTAGATGGGCTCTCATCACTCTCCATCTTTTACTTTTTGTGTGTTACTTCACTAAATTGGGGTTTAATGCATATGCGTGTTCCCTTACTCCTCCTGCTAATTCACAATACTGTTCTGGGGACCATATAGAATACCTGAGTAACCTTTGGAAAGTTCTGTGGCTCATCTTGCCCATCTGTAAGAGATATGGGAGAGAGAGAGAGAGAGAGAGAGAGAGAGAGAGAGAGAGAGAGAGAGAGAGAGAGAGAGAGAATGAGAATGATAGCACCTATTTCACCAGATTGTTATGATAATTAAGCCAGTTAATTTGTAAGGTTCTTAGAATAGTACCTGACAGATGGAAGGTGTTCTATTTGCTTTAAAAAATACCCAAGGCAATTAAAAATTAAAAATTTAAACTACAGTTAGAAGGGCGTCATGCTATTTTGGTAGCTTTGCAAGAAGGGAAAATAGGATGGTCCCTTTACTGGGCATATGGGATTGTGACGAGCGTTAACACCACTAGAGGGAACTATGGGGCTAGTTCAGTCATTGAACAGTGGCCGTAGTGTGTGCCAAGTGTATGTTGAAGACTCCAAAAATATCCTTCCTTTCACTCTCTCAAGAAAATCGTTTCCCATCTTTCCACCCTAACCCTATGCCCAATCCACTTAGCAGCCAGAAACAGCTTCTGCAGTTGGGAATTAAAGCAGCTAATACCTCATTATCTGACCACTGCCTCTTATCATTCAGTACACATAGTCTGAATAATACTGCATTTTCTCCTAAAGTTATGGCTATGTGATGATGGCAATATTGTAAGCCTTATAGACTAACCAGTTATCCTGCCAGTTTCCTGGTTTTGTGTCACCCAGACTTTGAAGAATAAAGCAAGTGCTATCGTTTATACACCTGCCTCACTTAATTATAAATTCAGTGTAATTGTGGGTTTTCATACTTAGCATGCATCTGCATGACACCAGAAAAACTGAGGACTAAAGCTGTGTGTGGAGCTGCATTGTGTTAATGAATTGTGCTAACCACACCAAAGCTTTTTATTTTCAAAATTTATTTATACCTTGCATTGTTCTAAAAACGGTTTGAGATGTCTTAAAATTGCATAGTATCCAACAGAAGAAAATGAGTCACAAAGACATGGCAAAGGAAAAAAGGGGAGAGGAAAAATAAAATAAAACCAAGAGGCAAATATATGCCATGGGGATCCATGCATTTGTTAGAGTTTGTCACACATTTGGCTTTAAATGTCTAGGTAACCCAGAGAGAAAAATCAATTTTGAATTTTACACTGTCTGTATGATTTAAAAAAAACAAACAGTTGTTAAGGTAAAGCATATCTATTTATCATACTGAAATTTAAGAGAATTATGCCCAATATTCCAATATAGTTACATGCTCTGATGTCAAAATATATACTGTCAAGGTACTATAGTATCAAAAAAAATCCAGATATGTACATCTTTTATGTTTGGAGTTCTAGATACTCTCTCCAGGCCATACTCCATAAATTTTATTTCTTAAATCAGACGAGATTGGGCACGTTCAGGGTGGTATGGCCATAGACTTATTTCCTATATCAGCGATTTGAGTAAGAATTTGATGCCAGTGAGTACAAGATAGTTGTTATTCTCAACAGGTATTTGCAGTTCACACGTCCAATATTTCTGATTATGAGCAGGCCCGCACACTTTGAGAATTGCATGAGCCAAGGTTATGGCTAAGAAAGTTCAGATTTGTTAACTAGAGCCTGTCCTTAGGCTGAAGACTGCCCAGGGCAATGGATAGGGGTGCTAGGGCTGCACTCATGAATAGAATCGAGACATTTTGGGTTTTATTTTCTCCTTCAAAAAACAGCTCTAGATCTATACTTCAACAAATTGGCAATCAAGACCACAGAGTTTTGCACCATAGAGTTGTTGTTTTCTTTTACTTTTTCTTTTTACATCTATAGGTAATATTTCCATTGTCCTCATTGCTAAATAGCTTAAATTTTCCATTTTGATTCCATCTTCAAGCCCAGGTTTTATAAAAGTGATTAAAATTTTGAGAATTTAGAAAATGTTTGCTAATATTTCTGTTTTAATTTTGAGTTTCACTTTACTCTGGTTAGCAAATATAATTTGTATGATTATTTTTCTTGAGAAATGACTCATTGTTTTTTTATGACGCAACAAAAGGTTAATTTTTATAGTTATCTGCACATTTTTTTAAAGATTGTGTTTTCTCTGTTGACATGACATTTTTTACATCTCTATTAGACTAAGTTGTTAAGTGTTAACAAGTCTTCTAGCATTTTCCTCTATAGTAGGCAAGAATCTTACATCCCTTCCCTTCTTCACGTTATACCCTCCTGAGGTTTTTGTTCCAGTTTATTTTTTTACCATGCACACTTAATTTAAAATAAACTTTAACTTTTAAATTTACTATTTTAAATTTTATTTTAACTTAATTCCAGTTTATTATTTTTTAACATCAGCACTTAATTTAAAAATGAACTCTACTTTTGCTATTTGGATCCCCTGTCTTTCTTTTGCATTCTTTTTTTTATTTTCTTGGAATCCTTTTTAAATAAAGTGGGTGATAAACATTCCAAATCCTTGAATTACCAAAAATGGTTTTACTTTCTTATGACTCTCAAATGGTGATGCACTTTCACTGTAGAGAGAATTCTACTTGAAATGATTTTCCCATCAGCATCTAATACGCTGATGTCAATCTGATTCTCTTTCTATTCTGGCTAATTTGCTGGCTTCAGGATGTTCTGAAATTTCACTTATAGATTTTTTTTTCCAGTTTATTACCTTTCATATGTAGTTTATTCAATATGAGAACTACTGTCTTTCTTCTAATTTGGGAAATTTATTTCTCTCTCTTTCTCTCTGAGTATATTCTTCCCTGCAATCTACTCTTTGTTTTGGTAACTCCTATTAGAAAAATGTTAAAGCTTCTGTATATGCTTTTGTGTTACATTCTTAAAGAACACGTGGTCTAATTTTGCAAGTCATTCACTCACTCTACTGTTATTATAGCCCAGGGGTGGGCAAACTTTTTGACTCAAGGGCCACAATGGATTCTTAAACTGGACCAGAGGGCCGGAACAAAAGCATGGATGGAGTGTTTGTGTGAACTAATATAAATTCAAAGTAAACATCATTACATAAAAGGGTACGGTCTTTTTTTTTTTTTTAGTTTTATTCATTTCAAACGGGCAGGATCCGGCCCACGGGCTGTAGTTTGCCCACGGCTGTTATAGCCTGTCCTCTTTCAAGGACACCGTGTCCTATTCTATTTATCTAAGAACTAGAGGCTCGGTGCACGAATTCATGTATGGCCAGGGGGAGGGGACGTGGGAGGTTGGCCAGCCGACCACGCACCCTGGTCGAACTCCTGATCAAACTTCCAGTCGATGGGACAATTTGCATATTAGCCTTTTATTATATAGGATACTGATTTTATGTCTCTTGTTGCTTAGTAATTCAGCTTCCTCGGGTGTTCATTCAGTAAATATTTACTGAGTGCACTGAATCCAAACACTTTTGGAGTTGCTGGAAGTTGAATTCGATGTCTCTGTCTGGTACTAGCTCTTCCCCTGGACTTGTGATTCTGAGAGAGGGCTCATCCTCGTCTTTAGCTGATGGGCTCTAATCATCCTCTATTAGCAGCCAGATGTATTTTATTCATGTGCAAAGTGTCTTAAAATTTGAAAAGATTGACATAAAAAAATCCAGCTTTTCAAATTCTCTTTACTTTTCGGACTAACCGACAATGTCACTGGGCTCATTTGCTTTCTTCAACATTTGGCTGACGCAGAGTACAGACTGCTGAGATATAGGGTATGCTCTTCCTTATTATTTAAGTTCAAAGTATTTTTTTCCCTGAGGGGTTTGCTTTTAATTTACCCTACAACACTTCTATTGACTTCCAAATTTCACTTATAAAATGTTTACTTTTGGAGAGCTCTTGTTCTTTGATTTTCATAGCATTCTGTTCTTGTCTTGTAGATGCGATTATCTCCTTTAATTCTTTCAGAATGTAATCATAGTTTGTTTGTTTTTAATCAAGCTTCCTTCTGACTCTGTTTCCTCTATTATTTTTTCCAGACTTTCTCTCCCCCTTCTCCTTTTCATAGCAGCTCTCCTCCAGAGTCTGTTGAACTTTGAACATACCTTCATATTTATTTATTTATTTTTATATTTTTTAAATTGATTTCAGAGAGAAAGGGAGAGGGAGAGAGAGATAGAAACATCATGATGAGAGAGAATCATTATTGGCTGCCTCCTGCAAGCTCCTACTGGGGATCGAGCTCACAACCGGGGCATGTGCCCTGAATGGGAATTGAACTATGACCCCCCGGTTCATAAGCTGCTGCTCAACCACTGAGCCACGCCAGCTGAGCCATACATTCACATTTAAGTGTGATTCCCTGAGATGTCAATCGGAAAGTCTGGGTGGAGGTAGCTCTTATTGACTAGTGAACTTCAGCTTAAGATGAACAATGAAAGAAGTAAATAGCCTTTTCAATTGTGGGCCTCACATGTCATTGTGAGGACATCTTTCTTGTAGAGCCACTCATCTTCGCTAGGGAAGAGTCCTTCCGTCTTGCCAGGAGTAGTGGTGGTAATACGTGTGGCCTTCTAGCAAGCTGACCAAGGGCCCCTGGAGATCAGCCAGATTTTCTCTTCAACCTCTTCTTTTCAGACTATGCCTTGCCTTGTCCTTTGGGGCTTACATACTCCAAATACTACTCAGTTTCTACAAAGAGTAAATCTCTCCTGCAAGGAGCAGGTTAGGGGTGATTGGCTGATTTCAACAGGAAGAAGAGTCCTGCCAGGGCTTAGTCATCTGTAGACGGACTTGGAGCCAATTTCCTGTTAACAACAACATCTCTCTCTCTCTCTCTCTCTTTCTCGTTCTGTCTCTCTCTCTTCCTAAGTTGCTTTCAGGTTCTCTTCCATATTCTTTGTGTTCCAAGGAGATGTTGAAATGTTTTGTCTGTTCATGTCTCTTCTTATGTTCCTCTTGATGGTGAATAAATTTTGTACTCTTTTACTGTTATTTTAGTGGAAATTCGCTAAGGAAGAGAGAGAGATGCATGTGACCAATCTGCCATCTTGAACGAGAAGTCTGGATGAATTATTTTACCCTGTAATAGACAGAAAAATCTCCTTTATTCACTCCCAGATGCAATAAGGTTTGCATATACTCAGCCAAACCTTAAAAGATAAGGAATTAATTAGCATCCTATTTAATGAATTCTGCAACATAGAACTATATGAATCTAGGAAATCAAAAATATCAACTTCTCCTCCAGCTCACACTTTTGGAATATCAGTACTTTGCCATTTATCTGAACTGTATTTCATATTGAGGTGTCATATCTTTAAATAAAAACATTTTAAAACTTGGACCTAGAATTCTATTTTCATCTGTATATGCCATGTGACTTTCTTGGCACATGTGACTTATGGTTTTTGTGGTGTATTTTTAGAGGAGAACACTGAAGAATGGAACAACCACAGCTTGTTACTTTACAACAATTTACACTGACTCATCCCTGCTCCTTGCGGAAATTACAGGTGAGGAGATGAAGGCACACTTTATGGGCACAACCAGCAAAGCCAGCCAGACCATGTCTGGCAGGGAGTTAAACTTATGTGCAGTCTTGCCTTTTAATTACTAAAATTTGACATTGCATTCCTTACAAGTAATTAGGTGTTTTTGTATTACTGTGGCCCCTGGATGTTTTTTATTGTTTAGGTAATTTGATTATTCACTTATGGTTTTTGGTTCCAGAATCATGTGTATAGGTCTGAATTTTGTGTATTAACTTAGGGCATTTTGGAGCAGGTTTATTAATTCTAGTAATGGCAACAGTTTATTATAATCAACAGACATATATCTTGGCTGTTGGTTAGACTCAGGGCACTGTGCAAATTGCTGGGAACACAAGAGCCAGATAGGACTAATTGATTAATAACTACACACATTGATCAGTAACTTTAGGAACAGCTGTAGTGCACTTTTTAAAAAATATTTTTTTATTGATTTCAGAGAGGAAGGCAGAGGGAGAGAGAGATAGAAACATCAATGATGAGAGAGAATCATTGATTGGATGCCTCCTCCACACTCAAACTGGGGATCGAGCCTGAAACCCAGGCATGTTCCCTGACCATGAATTGAACCATGACCTCCTGGTTCATAGGTTGATGCTCAACTACTACTAGCCGGGCTGTAGTGCTCTTATTAAGATGCCTGGATTGTGCAAAGCACTCTACATGGATTATGTCAGCTCAGTTGCAAACAGCCTTCCAAGATAGTTATTGTGTCCCCATGTTACAGATGGATAAACTGATGCTCAGAGAGGCTATAAAACATGCTCACTCACATAGGTAGTAAGGAAGGAAACTTGATTTAGGTCAATGATTCTGAAACTTGTATCCAACACAGTGCCCAGCACTTAGCAGGTGCTAGTAAATGGTGTTGGCTGATATGCTGACGCTACTGCTTGCTGACATAGGTCATTGATGTCAAAGGCCTAGAAGATGATGCTGAAATTAACTATTGCCATTTTGGGAAGAGACAGAGAGAACCCAGAACTGGAACATCTAGGAAGACTTCATGGAAGGGAAGGGAGTCTTAAACTTGGCTTTAAAGGGAAGATAAAATGGGGAAAGAGAAAATGTCTTTCAGACAGGGGAAATAACATCAACAAAGGCATGGAGACAGGAATGTGTATAGTGACACTGGAAGCATGGAACAGAGTACCTGAACTGGAGGACAGGACTCATTACACGGGGGCTGGGAGATGCATGGGAGAGGGGGTTGGGTAAATGGGATGATTCGGACTGTGGAGAGATTTGAATATGCATCAAAAAATCAAAGAAGGTTTTGATGCCAGATGAGGTATGTGATCAAGGTGCTGTTTTAAGAAAGAGCAATCTAATGGCCAGTTATTAAAATGAATTACAGGGAAAGATAAAGGCAGAAAGATTTCTGTAAGATTCTTATGACAGGTGGAGACATTGTAAAAAAAGTTAACATTGCCCAATACAGAGTCAACTTCCTAGCTGGTGTTACACGAGGGTCTGAGGCTGCCCTCTCTTTTTCCAGGCAATAAAATGGGAACAAGCATAGTTATGACTTGAGTAAAAATATAGACAAACTGTGTAAGCAAAGAAAAAAACTGAGTAATAAGTAAAAACACCCAATTATTACCTGGCCAGCCTAGAAGTGGGAGTTGGGGAGGGGGTGGTTGAAGTGATGGGTGGAAGAATATTTGCTACTTATAGAACTTAGTGGGGTTTTGTTGTTGTTATTGTTCTTAATGAATAGTCTTTCATATTCTCACCTATGTTTTCATAATGATTTTAATTTAAACATGTTTTAAAAGGCTCAGAGAAGGTACTGTGTAGGAAAGACACATGACTTTAGGTCCTTTTTCTGTGTGCCTCACAGATAAATTTGGGCAGCGGGCATTTGTGGGCAAAGTCTGCATGGATATGAATGACACAGTTCCAGAATACAAGGAAACCACTGAGGAATCAATCAAGGAAACAGAGAGGTATGTTCATCTACATTTGTCTTGTGAGCGGTCCTTCTGCTGCACTGATGGAGTTGGAGATGAAGCGAGAAAACCTCTCTGAACCAGGTGGGATGTGCACATGTTACAGCGTGGGTTTGCCCAACTTTATGAAATTGATCTGGTCCTAAAAAAAATCGCATTCAATACTATTTTTGTATACCAAATTATATTTTAAAGCCTCTGGGAACTTGTGTGTGTTTTTTCAAATATATTTTTATTGATTTCAGAGAGGAAAGGAGAAATAGAAACAGCAGTGATGAGAGAGAATCATTGATTGGCTGCCTCCTGCAGAATCCGAGCCGGCAATCTGGGCATGTGCCCTGACTGGGAATTGAACTGTGACCTCCTGGTTCATAGGTCAATGCTCAACCACTGAGCCACGCCAGCTGGGCAGGAACTTGTTACAGGAGTCCTAGGATAAGCCCCTTTGTAAAATGAGGGGTTCTTTTTTTGAAGTAAATGATTTACCCCCTTCCTCCCCTTTATTATAGATCTGGTCTTCTCCTGTATGTTGGACTTGCTTTAAGTGTGTGTGTGGCCTGCTCCTTAAGTTACAGTTGACTCTTGAGCAACACTGGTTTGAACTCTTTATCTTACATTGGCATATTCTACTGATCCTATAAGTACTTTTTCTACTTTTCTCTAATGGCTTTTTCATGGTGCCTTGAGGATTTGACAAGGAATTGTGTTGTATGACACAAAACACCCAAGAGCTATACATAGAAGAAATTTCTTTAGATTTAAATCTTCCCCAGACCAAACATGTCCCCATGCACATTTTAGAAGTCCAACTTTTCTTGATTCCCCAGACCTCCTTCACCTACAGTGTGTCCTCTGAAAAGGGAGGCTCAGGAGCTGCTACCTGCCCCAGAGAAAAGGAAGCGTGCACCTTCGCCTTAGCATTGGCCATCAGCTCAACTTTTCTATGAATGTGTGTTTGTGGTCATAGTAAACCTTAATTCACATTTTATTCTGAAACAAAAGTAAAAAGGACTTCCAGAAGACAGGAAGCTTAGCTAATAAATATTCCCAGCCGGGGCAGAATTGATCATTTTATGGGTCATGCAAATACCACCATCCCTGCAGATACAATTGGTAAGATCGCCACCCCAGCACCACCCATTTCACAACCTTTGTCTTCTACCTTGCTCCAGAATCCCAGTGGAAATTAAGGGTGATTTAGTGGGAGCAAGAAGCTTCCACTTTAGGGAAATTAGGAGTAGAGAGCCCCATAGCTTCTAAATGTTTCCAGGTGCATAGCATTTAGGGACTCTAACATCCCTGTAGCATCACATTTTGCAATAGTCCCTCACCCCAAACTAAAGCTGGTAGAATGGCTTGAGTGTCATGGGAATACTCATGAACAACCCAGTTGACGTTAGATGATAAAATTGCATTTCTCTGTGACTTTGCACTCCATCTCTGCAAACGAGAAAGCAGAGTAATTACTACTTGTTCATCGTTAATTAGTGTGGTGAAACGTGTGCAGTGCTAGAGTGTTTGCATGGAAAATGGGACATGGAAATTTCGTGTTTACCTCTTTTTAAAAAAATTTTTTGAAAATGCCTAAATTTTTTAACTTCCCATTTGTTGCCTTATTTCAGGTTCGTGTCAGAAATGCTCCAAAGGAACGTAAGTAAACTTATTCTCAGCTTGTATTTTGATTGCCTTGGTCTTAGTCGTAGGCTTCGTTATGAAGTTGTTCGGCAGAGAAAGATCTGTGTGCGTTTGGCTTATCCCATGCATGCAGAGGTATTTTCCTAGAACCGCAAGTTGTTTTCACAGAGGACCTGTCAACTCAGCTCAGTGAGGTCAGGCATTTTTTGCTTTCTTGGTGGTTTTCTCTTCCTCCCCTTTGGGACCACCTCATTTCACTGGGCTGATCTGTGGGAAGGTGGAGTGGGCTGCATGGCTGTGGACAGATTGGTGGCAACTGGAAATTGAAGTGTGATGTTTGCTAGCTATGCTGATATTGGCTGTGGCCTGTTAGATCTGATCTGAAACATAGGTGGTGTCCAGCCCAGATGCCCCTGCCACAGGCTGCCTTGGCCCACATATGTATGTGTGGCTTGTCACGTGGCCTGCGGGCACTCAGTCAGGCACTCCCCTTTGCAGGCCCTGGGGTTGGTGAGCCTAGGGAGGCAGTGCTGTTTTCTGCCTCCATCCCCAGCAGGCTGGCTCATGGTTCCCTGGTGCCATCTCTTAAATTGCCAGACCCTTCCCTTCCCATCTTTTGAGGTCTGATTGGAAACCACAGTGAACCTTGGAATTTCTTTCCATCTAACCTTGGGAGACTTAGGTCGAGTCTTGTGGGTCCTTATTCTCTCCATCCCTCTATAAGTTCTTTCCTGCTCAGACCCTCACTTCGGGTGACATCAGAGCCAGTTCTACTATGGAACAGTTCTTGGGGATGCCATGGCCAGCACTGCCTCCCTGCTAGTCTCCCAGATCTCTCCTTTAAAAGTTCTCCTTGTGCCTCTCATTTCTCTTGATGAGGCCACCAGTGCAGCCTCGGCGGAGCCCTGCTGTGGATGTGGAGCAGGGGTGGCTATCATTTGGGACAAGCTCTTCTTCCATTGAACTGGGTGCTACAGAATATACTCTCCTTTGTCCTCAGCCATGAGCCATTTCCATGAAACCCAGCACTTCCACCCACTCCTAGAAAGGACTGTCCCCAAATATCAAGACATAAATTACCCAGATGTAAGATATGCATTCAGGGTATGCTACACATTCAGGGTATCAATATTTTCCTTATCCACTTGTTTTTACTATTTCCAGTATTCTAGAGTGAAGCCCATAGTGACACCACGCTTTGCCCTTTCCTGCTCTGAGACGATGCTGGCCGATCTTGGAAACATCGCGAAGACCCGTGATTTGCACATTCAGGTGGGTATTTTTCTCTTGCTTGTGCTTCTGCCAGACCTGCGAGGCTTCTCATTATCCTGCATTCTGGCAGTAATCTCTAATTCTACTGAGATCTAGAGGTGTAGCATTATGGAACAGGGAAGGTCCTTACAGACGTCACCCAAATCCAATTCTTTAACTTTTCAGCTAAAAAACCGGAAGTTCCTTTTCCTCTCAATCATCTCTGATCAGGCTTGCAGAGATGAGGCTATCACAAGTAATCCAGCAAGATCTAAGGCAGACTGGCTCCCTGTTGTCTGTAGGATACATCTAATGCATTTCTTTTTTGCTTCTTTTTCATTTGATGCTTTCTCAGCATTCGAGCCCTTCATTTTTGAAGGAGCCACCTATTATTTAAAAAGGAATAAGAGCCTCATTTCCACCTTACAAAATGCATTTAAAAGCCCCTTTGTTCCAAGTTTCTTAATTTAAAACCAGGAACAAAAAAAGTATATATTACTTTGTCATTAAGCAGGTGCAACTTAGGAATAAAACCCGTTTTAAAGCTTCCAGCTGGGTTAAAATTGGAAGTTGGGAACATCCAAGCTTCATTATATACTGCACTAAAATTTCCCCTGGTAAGAGTTGGCTATCTTATAACAAAGGGCAAGTCAGGGGAAAGGCAGCACATTGATTCTTTATCATTTGTAGGGTGGAGGGTGGTGGTTGTTTTTTTCGTGTGTGTTTTTTTAAAGATTTATCTTAATGGGTCTCATTCACCATTATCATCATTCCCCATTCTCTTTCTGTTTGTTTGTTTGTGTGTGTGTGGCGGGGGGAGGGGGGCTGAGGTGCAGCCTGGGATATTTGAATTTTTTATTTAATTCCACAGTTGTAAGGGAGGGAAATGTTTTTCCTCAACCTTCTTGGAGTTCCTGTTTGGGTTTGGAAACTAAATGCAAAGATAGATTAACAGGAGGAAAGCATGCAAATGTATTTAATGTACGTTTTACATGACACAGGACCCTTCATGGGAAATGAAAACCCAGAGAAATGATTAGACCTGAGTATTTTTGAACATTACAGGCTTGTTGAAGAATGCCCGGTTGTGGAGGAATAGGAGAGGTTCAGGGATATGACCTTAGGCAGCTTAGCAAGCCCTTCTTGTTCGGCTTCTTCTTGGCTCCCTTTGTCATTAGAGATAAAGGTGCTCTTTTCCCCCTGGGTGTAGGGCAGGCACCTCTCACATGTGGGTGTTATGACCTGTTTCGGGTAAGGAAGGGTGAGAGAAGCACCAGAATGACCTTCTTGCTTCTGCCCTTATCAAACCCCTTTACCTTAATGTGGCATTTTTCAATATGCCAAGATGCCATATTTTGTGGCAGTAGATACTGAACCCCATCAACACACAGCAAAAGCAGGTATATCCTTGTGTGGGGTGTATGTCTGTATGTAGGTGTATTTACTCAAATTTATCAAAATGACACAAATCATCCGGTTGTCCTTTCTTCTGGTGCCCATGCTTTTCTTCAGTGGTCTGGGCTTTCCTCAAAGCCAAGGATAGAGTTCATCCCATAGGTGGGAGACTGTTTTTTAGAATATTGCTGGTTTTTTCTTTGATTTATTTGGCTATGGAGAGAGGGAAATGGCACTGCTTTTCTTGGAAGTGGTAGCTTGCTCATGAGTTATTTCCCATAATATATACCCACCACCAGTTGGCCTGAAATGACTTCTGTGTTAGGCCAGGGGTGGGTGTGGTTCCACTTCAGTGTTTGTCTCTGAAACACTTCACCTGCTCTCCAGTTTTGTGGTGCCTGGAGAGAGGTTGGTGTGGGAGCCGGGACTCACTTGTTTTGCTTGCATGTGAGTCTTCACGGGCTCTTTCTATGTGACTGCAGGATTGTCTAGCCCAGTTGTTTTCAAATTGTTTTCTGCAGAAGAACTCATTCTGGAAGCCAAAAAAGGGGACAGAATGGAGACAGATTCCCAGAGTCCCAATCCTGCTTCATTCTGAGAGGCAACTTGTTTATGCCTTTTACATCCTGGATTCCTATGAATTTTTATCAGAATAACATGGCCAAAGCTAAAAGAAGTTGGAAAATTGCTTATCCAGCCAAACCCTTTTATTTGAGAGATGAGGGAATGGAGACCTAAATAAAAGAACTGACTCACCCTAAGACCCATGAGTAGGGTCTGAACTTGGCCTAAAATTCAGCTCTCTTTATTCAAATCCAGTTTTCTTATGAGTGAAAGATGCCGTCTGTCCTGTTGATGGTCTCTTTCTTAAAGGACAACAGCAGAAGAAATAGGTGGCCACAAAGAGCTAGGCTGTTAACTTTCTTTAAGGAACACTTTTTATTTTTGTTTGTTCTTACTCTAGTTTGGAATTTGAAAAGACCTTATTGAAACATTACATGGGTTAGAATATTACATGCTTGTGCAATTACATATTCATAGTTTCTTTGTCACGTGATTGCTTTAAATGAATGTACAGTCTTCAGTGTCTCTCTATGTGACCCCTCACATAGACAAGTAGAAACCACCCATACATTTTGGGGTAGGACGTATAATTTCTAGTGGCATTTTACCTTAAAAATTGAAAATATTATTTTTTTTCTTGTAGAGCCATATAAGTGAAAATCTTGATGAAGTTGAAGCTGTGAAACAGTTATTCCCCAGTTATAAAAACTATACAGATGTGTATGATAAAAACAATCTTCTAACAAATAAGGTAAATTGCATCTCATGACATAATCTGTATCAAAGAGGGCATATATATCTGAATTCTGAGATCTCAGTAGTGCTCTTGAGACTTCTATGACATGTGCATTTCCCAGACTAAAGCTTAGAGTGTGCATATGTGTGTGTGTGTACGTAATTAAAAATGGGCCTGAACTCTCATCCTGGTAAATAAGTCCAAAGGCTTCACTGAGGGTGGGAATGTCATTTAGTCCAAGGACATTTTGTCAGTGTTTATTAGAATGTAACTGTACATTTCTTTGAGTTAGAAGACCATATCTAAGGATCCATTCTGCAAGAAATATGATTAGGAATGTTAATCACATATGAAAATTAAAAAATGGTTCTCATGGGGGATTGTTTAAATGATAGAATTTACATAATTATAATTTTACCCAACGTTCACAAAGAATGAGGCATACAGGCTTACGAGATGGATGTCTGTGTGTATACATGTGGGTGCATGCTCACCTAGAAAAACTGCATGGGAGACACATATTGAATGTTAAAGGTTATTCTTCCTGAGGGAGAAACAGAAGGACTTTCTTTGTATTTTTAAACACCTTGAGGTTGCTTTTATGAGTGTGCATTGTTTTCATAATTAAACCATTTTAAGTTCATTAAAATTAATGTGAGTGAGCAGAGACCTCATTAGAACAAGACACCCCTTGGCCGTGGCCTTAGCTATGGCAGCAACTAAATTCTTAGGGACTTGGTGAAAGGAGATGTGGCTGTGACTAATTTGAAAGGCTAATATTCTGCATAAATCTTATACAAGCTGCACCTTAATCTTCATCCTCCATAACATATATTTCCATATGATTAATACATTAACCTTCAATTTGCATGTTTCTTTGCTTTGCACAGAGGTTATGAAAATTATATTTTAATAATAATTATGTGGCCACCGAACCATGCCTCCTAAAGAAGAAAGCTAATCAGATACAGGTTTTGTACTGAGAACAAAGGAATTTTGAAAGAGCAAAGCCTTATTCAGGAAAACCCACCAATATTACCAAGCCTGAAAATGAAGAGAAGTCTCTTATGTGTGCAGTGCCTGCTTTCTTGGATCAATTTTACCTTCTGAATTCATGCATATTAGATATTACATTTCTTAATTTTTAGGAAAATGTAAAAAAAAAATGAAATAACGAAAGTGTGTTCGGTTATGTGTCAAGTCCATTGTTCCTCTATCTAACTTGGGGCAGAATTAAAGAACAACTCCTTCCCAGATCACTCCCCCAGCTCCCATGTGCTGAGAAAGGAAAGCTCACTTCTAGAAAGCATTGATTAGAATAGGAACAAACACAGCCCCACCAGACACCCACTAGATTTAGAAAAGAAAGTAACTTGGTTATTTTCTAAAGTGGAGATGAAGGAATCACAATATCTTCAAACTGGATGGGTGTTCTATGCTGTAGATGACCTGGATCAACCCTCCTTATGTTATAGATTTAAAAAGAAAAGAAAAGAAAGAATATGATGATAAGATCTACACATGTACTGAAACTTTTGTAATCTATTGTCTTGACATGTACTGAGTGATTTTATACAGACAGGTAATCATAAATGTCCTTGTGAAGATGCTTACAGACATCTTCATGCACAGGCGAGCAGGTCCAGATGTCACAGCTTCTCTCTGTGCCTATACTGTCTTGTTGTGAGTGAGGACTAACTGAAGCATTTTTAAGTGGTAAACTCCACACAGGACACTCTTCTCTCCAGACAGTGATGGCACATGGCTGCTACCTTTCCGCAGAAGAACTGGATGTTTTCAGGGAGCGAGGAGCATCGATCGCACATTGTCCCAATTCTAACTTATCGTAAGTAGGCAATGATTGGTTGGTAAATTACGAACATTTGGGTTGCAAAACAGCAGCCTTTGTTTTCTGAGTCATCCCTTCAGTATCTCCCTTCTCTAGTTATGTTTGATTGGGGTGGGAGCTAGATAGACAGGCGCGTACCTTTGCGTCTGAAGAGAAAGAAAGCACTTAACAGGGCATTTCTTGCAGAGTATGTATTTGAAGAGCACCACATCTCTTAAAATTTCTGAGTTTGTGCAAAAGAGGAAAGTGGAAATGCAACAGAAAGAGTTCAGAACCAATAGCATTCAGAACTTCCAGCAGGGCCTGAAAGGGCACATACTCCAGCAGGTGTTCCAGGGAGAGGTGCTCACTTCCCATTGCTTTGTGTTGTGCAAACTGCTAGAAACACTCACACTAGTAGAAATGATGCAGTGCTACTGGAAATCTACACCCTTCATATGGTGTATGTCACCTGCTGGATCAGATAGGATGCCAGTTCATGTGAAAGCGACCTTGCCCTTTATAGTTCACCAGAATACAAAAGCTTTATTTATAACTGGTTTTTAACATTTTGAAAGGTTATATATTCACAGGTTAATCGGATGAAAGTTTTGGCCTGTATCTTCAGGGAAAAAAGTCCAGAGATATAAACATGCTGCACCTAATTTCAGGGAATTCATAGATCCCAGGACGCTCACCCATGGATGCTAGGTTAAGAATTCATGGTCCAGGATTAGATACAGGCAGGCGCTCTCCTTTCTGGTATTAGTCAACCCAGAACAGAGCTGCTTCCTCTTAGAGGAAGGCTGGGGTGGATCACTCATATATTCATTCAATACATTTATTTAGCTTCTGCTAGATTTTCATCTTTTCAAGGGTTACTTTGTGTTCTCTTGATTTGAATTCTTGCAGAAGTAGACCATGAGACGAGGATTCATGTACAAGTAGCTTATTGGGGAGGTGATCTCAGGAAACACCTTTAGGGGGGTAAGACAGAGAAGGGAAGGAAGTCAGCAAAGAGTGCATCATTAACCGAGTTACCAGCATGGGCTCCTGGAGTCTAATCCTTCTGGAAATCCCAGGAAGTCAGTGTCCAAAGCAGACCTCCAAGTCATTCTGCACAAGGGGTGGGGGACCTGGTTATACCCAAACACCCACCAGTCATTATTGGGTGATTGCTGGGTGGGATGAAGAGGCATTGATTCCCTGGAGCTTCTGACCTTCCCCAAACCGGGGCGGAGCAGGCTCTACTGGCTGAAGAGAGCCCTCAGCAAAGAGTTGGAGGTGTCAGCAGTTAGAAGTCTAGGGACCTTGTAAATGAAAAACCTATGTCAGTGGCAGCATGGGAAGGCACAAGATACACAGCGACTTATTTCTAGAGTGTTCTGAGAGGTTCTAGAGGCTTCCAGTTTTAAGACATTGAGTGGTAACGCATGCCAGGGAATTCTGCCCATATACAGCTTAGTGATCATAATCTGATCTAGTAGCCAGATAGGGGAAGGGTTTAACACCCTTTCCATTAATTACACAACATCTAAACTAAAACGTGATCCAAATGAAGGTTTAAAGTTCTTTATGGATACATTTCTGTTTACATGGCCACTGTTATTCTTTCTCCAACAACTTTGAGAGTTTTATGGCGTGTACATTGGGGCTTTGAAAATTATAATCATGTGTGTCTTTGAGCAGACCACTTTGACCTTTGCATTTTCTCAGACTTCTAAGGATTGCTTTAGTTTTCCTTCGTTTCTTCAGAAAGGCGCATATCTAGTAAGCTCAGGGCCACGAGGTCCAGACTTCAGCACAGGAACCATCTCTCCTAGTTTCTGCTTCCTCAGTGGCCTCATTTGAACTGGCAGGCCTGGACTCACCAGCCTGCATGCCCTTTTCCAGTTATACTCCCTTTCTTTGATCTTAAAAGTCACTACTTATTCAGGGTAACAAATTATCTGAGATGGAGAGGAAAGACAAAGCTTTATCATTTCTACTTCCTAACATAGGAGGATGGGTTGGTTAAAAAAAATATTAAAGACCGGTAAGACTTTTGGACTAATTGCAAGATTTAATTTCTTCATTTACTTTTCCTTGCAAACGATCCCCTGCTTTCTGTTTTTGCTCTTGCTTCTTTGTACCCTCCTGAGATTAACCTCTGTGCCAGGAGTTAAGCTCCTTTGTGGTCTGCTTTTACTCCAGGACTCAGATGTTCTGATCTGATGAATGTGTGTGTGTCAGCATTAGCGCTGATGTGACGGAGAATACAAGTTTCAGTGACATCTCCATCACTACTGTTAGGTGCTTCTGTTGTTGGGCCCACATAGGTGTCCTGGTTCTGACAGTCTCCTCTCTCTGCAGGCTCAGCAGCGGCTTACTCAATGTGCTAGAAGTGCTGAAACATGACGTGAAAATAGGGCTGGGTACAGGTTAGTAGTGCACCATTTTGGGCCATGGCTAACTGGTTGCTTAAGTGCATAACGTTCTAATGGGACTAATTTTCAGTTTGCATTTCCATGTTAAAAAATTAGTTTTATTTTTCTGGTAACAATATCTTGAGCTAATAAAATAGTGAGATTGGAAGCAGTAAGAAGATATATGCAAAGGAAGACGTTTGGATATCACTAAGCTTCTGAAAGCTATTCTCTGCATTTATTATCAGAGGCTCTAAAGCAAGCATGTCAAACTCGCGGCCTATGGCCCGCATGCCTCATTTATTTGGCCCGTGTTAGCCTTTGAGTTTGACATGCTTGCTCTAAAGGATGGGTCCTTCTCTAGTGTTTTCGAGATTCATTTAAAGAAGTCCTTGATTTTTTTCTCTTTTGTTTTGTCCTTCTGGCAAGGCTTTAATAGTTTGGATTTGTATGTTTTTGGTTTTAAATAAATGTGCCATCACAAATACTGTCTCAAAAGAAAATTATTTGGCCTTGCCATAGCAAGCACAGGCTCAATTTATGCCAGCGTCGCGAACTCTGAGTTACAGAACTTGCTTTCCTTGTAAGCAGTGTTTAACAAAATGAGATTCCATTCCCACAGGCAGTCTGATGCTTGCTGGGCTGAAGGACGTTCTCAATGGCTGATAAATTAAGGATACCTCTTTTTAAATGATTTTTTTCCTGAATTTGTGCAGTGTTACTAACTTTGAAAGCATGCGTAAGACCCAAATGTCTAGGCGTATCAACTGTGAACCTTTTACTATTGTGTGTGAATGAACTAAATTTTTTAAAATATATTTTTATTGATTTCAGAGAGGAAGAAAGGGAGAGAGATAGAAACATCAATGATGAGAGAGAATCATTGATTGCCTTCCTCCTGCACGCCCCCTACTGGCATTGAGCCTGCAACAGGGCATATGCCCTTGATTGGAATTGAACCCGGGACCCTTCAGATCACAGGTCAACGCTCTATCTGCTGAGCCAAACCAGCTGGGACATAGATTTCTTTTTAAGTGGGTGTAGGGCACAAGGACTTATTTTCCATTCTTGATGCACTTGTCCTCCTGATATTCAAGAGCATGTTTGCTTGTTGACAATGATAGTCTGGTAAAGCTCAAGTCTCAGTTAACTTTATACCAAGCAATTCCTTGGTAAGACACACAATAACACAAAGAGATTTATTAATATTTTTAAATAGGTATGCTAATGTAGAAGTTTTCCTTAATTCTATATGAATTAAGGTTTATTCTATATGAATTAAGGTTTATTCTATATGAAAAGAATTAATTTTTTTAAAAATTCTAATTTAAGCCTTGAATCACTGAGATTGTGTAATACCTGGATATAGTCACAGGTGCCAAGGCAGGAAACTGGCTGTTTTCCCTTAACAGAAAAGCTTTAATAGATAAGGAAAAAATGTCCAAGAGTTTCTGTTACATAGTATAGTCAATTAATTAAAAATTTAGCGGACATGCAAAATAAGGTAGGTATTTGCTTTCAAATTTCCTGGGAGTTTGGTCTCTATGAGTTAAATTCATCACCTAACTTCTAGTTCTTGGCTTTTGATTGTGTAGCAATAGCTTAATACAATTAGGTAAAGCTCTCACTGTCACTTATTAGCTGTAAAACATTGAACAAATTAATGTTCTAAGGCTTCAATTTCTAATTTCTGTAACAATAACAACAATCATAACGATATCTATCTTACAAGCTTATTTTGAGGCTTAAATGAAAAAAATCATACTAGTCAATAAAGATTGGCTTACAAGGGAAAGAGCAATGTTGGCATATTGACCAAATGTTTGCTTAAATATGATGTATTTGCTTATTAAGTTGGAGAATGCATTTCACATCATCTCTGCTGTGGCAGCCACCCTATGCTCCACTGTTTCCTAAACATGACCTTTGTGTATGAATTTGCACTTCATTTGTAGACTTTAGAAGATTATTTAAACTGCTATCATTGACAGAGATCAGTTCCAAAAGCAGGTCATTCACTGTATCTGTATCAGGTGTGGGTAGGTCCTGACTTGCTCCATATTAAGAGGAAACCCACCAGAAGCTTCATGAACATATTGCAAAGCAAGAGAAAATGGTATCAAAAAGAATAAAAGGATGAGCATATTTCTGCAAATGGTTTACTTCAGGGTCCAGAAGAAAATTTCAGAACATTACCATCATCCTTGGAGTACAAGAAGACATGGCACTATGAAAAGACCACAAGTTGTGATGGAAAAGGAAATTTTTAAAATGAGAGAAGAGAACTGAAAAGAAAAAGAAAAGAATAAGAAGCATGTAGACTCTCATACACAGCTGGAGGGAGGGTGAATGCGCAACCACTTTGGAGAACTCTTTGGCAGTTCCTTATAAAGTTAAATAAAAATCCACATATGACCTAGTCATTCCATTTTGGAATTTACACTAGAGACATGAACACGTATGTTTGCAAAAAGAGTTGTACAAGAATGTTTATACCACTTTATTCATAACAGCCTATCCTCCATAAAGTCCCTCCTTCATTCATAACAGCCTATCCTCCATAAAGTCCCTCCTTCAATTTAAGGCAAAACCTAAATTAAATCCTTTGACCACTAACTCTCCTGCATCATCATTATCTCCTCACTACTGAACCATTCCTAACAGCACACACATATTCCCTAGTATCTTCTAAGCAATGAAATGAAAACACACACACACACACACACACACACACACCACCTCTCTTTTAATCAGACACCCCCCTCTGGCTCCTACCCCACCTCTCTATTCCCCTTCAAAGCAAAACTTCTTCAAAGAGTGGGGACCCACACACACCACTACCATTTTCTCGGCACTCTTCCATTCCTCCACCCACTCCAGGCTGGCTTTTTGCCCCACCATCCATGGTGATGATCCTTGTCTTTTCTCCCTTGAGCTATTACTCCTGTGATCTCTTGCTGCCAACTCCAAAGGACACCACTCTGCCCTTATTATACTGGGTTTCTGAGCAGTATTTGCCATTGTTGACCACTCTCTCTTTTGCCCAAACAGCCCTATATTGAATTCAGTGGAACTGCACTGTTCTCATTACCCTTCTTCCTCTCTCACCAGCCCTTTATCTACTCTGAAGGTCCTTTCTCCTCTCCCTGGCCACTCAAGGCTCGGTCCTAGGCTGTCTCCCCTTTTGACTTTATGCTTTCTTCCTAAGAGATTTCATTCACAACTATGGCTTTCCATGATTACATGTGTGTAAATCACTCAGATTTTTATATCCTGCTCAGATTTCTCTTTGAATTCCAAACCTGTATTTTCAATTGCTTAGTTTCTCCTTCCTCTTTGACCCCTCCTCATAGGTCCTCCGAAGTTCATTGTATTCCAAAACACATTTAAGCCTGGTTATTTTAGAAGGCTCTCCTTTTCAGAGAATTCGGTTTCTCAAAGTGGAAACTTGGGCACTGTCTTTGAGACCTTCTTCTCCCTCACCTCTCCCCCATGTCTAAGCCAGTACAATGTCTTACCTCATGACTCCTTTACAGCCCCTGAATCTATACTCTTTTTCCATATCAGCCACCAACCCCTAATGCAAGCTACCATCATTTCTGGCCTGAACTTTTGCACTAGCTTCCTAAACCATCTCATTCATCCTGGGCTAATCCAGCCTTCTCTTTTCAAAAGAATCTCAGTGAAAAATCTGGCCATTTTACCCCCTCCTTCTTACCACCCTTCAGAGAGATTTTGCATGTGCAAACCACATTACAAGGCGACAAAACTCTGCACATTTGACACCCATCCGTCTCCCAGCCTCTTCTCCCAACACTCTCATCTCCCTAAACGGGCTATCTTTAAATTCCCTTTATGAATCTCACTCCCTTCTACCAAAACAATCTTTGTGCATTCTGTTCCTCTGCCTGGAATGCCCTTTATACCTCTGTTTACATGGCTGAGTTCTTCTCATTTCTGTATTAGTCTAAATGCTGTTACCCGAAAGAGGTCTTCTCTGACCATGTCTGTCTAAATGGGCTTTCCACCTCCGTCTTCTCTGTCACTAACTGAACACAATTTATAGTTAATACTTGTTTGTTTATTTGTCTCTTTTCTTCCTCCTCCACTAGCTTGTCAGCTCATATGGAGCCCATCAGTTTTATTTATGAGTACTTATTCTCATAGAAGATGCTCAGTAAAGTGACTGTCAATAAATGAATGAATGCATAAGAAGTTAATACACACATATTAAATAATTTCCTTTTATCTTTTCATTGCCCTCTGGCTCAAATTTTTACTCTTGTATGGTTTGTTTAGAGTCTTCTTGTAAATACTGTGTCCTTATGCTGACTCTGGTAAATAAATAACAATGCCATTCTTTATCATGATCATAGAGAGACATGGGTTGGGAATAGGTTTCTGAGAAAATGCATCCATTTTTCTCTACCATTTCCCCATGCAGTTTCTACCCTTAAGTCCTCATTCCCTAGCACTTATGTTACTCACTTGAATTTTTCCAGCAACTGTCAAAATAGATGATATTATTTCTATTTTCTGAGAAAATTGAGGCTCACAGGTACTAAGTAACTGAACAAAGGTCAACAAAAAAGTTCCAGATCCACAGTCTAAAACCAGGTCTGCAAAATGTGATGTTCATTATCTCTCTTTTCACGCCATCACACTGCCTCTCATTATATGATAAAGTGGGGATTCTACCTGCACTAATGTGTTGCAGGGAGGAGAAGCCACTGAGCTCACCCAGCTGGGCACAGATCAGGAAGTTGCTATCACAGTGGAAATCCCTGGAAGAAAAGTTTGACTAAAATACCACAGTTTATGTAGTCCAGGGTTTCTTTTTTGATCAGCTCAATATTGTTCCTTAGTTGGAACTTTATTAACATAACAACCAGAAGAGTATAGGATGATTAAGTCATCCTGTAAGGCAGCAACATAGTAAGACAGCTCTCAAAATTTTCTCAATAAATTGTTTTCTAAATCCAATGATGGGTGTCTTATAAGAGAAAATGAGAGACACTTGAAGACACAAGGGAAGACACAGATGAAGTTGGAGCCAGGTGTTGGAATTACACTGCCACAAGCCAAGGGCTGCCAGGAGCCGCCAGAAACTGAGGGCAGCAAGGGAAGATTCTTCTAGGGAGCCTTTATAGAGATAGTGGCCTGTGAACACTGATTTAAGACTTCTGCCCCCCAAAGCTGTGAGAGAATAAATTCCTGCTGTTCTGTGCTACCAAATTTGTGGTAACTTGTTGCAGAAACCCTAGGAAACTAATGCAGGTGCACATTTGATACTAATTACTGGTTTTTAATTCCGTTACATGTTAGTCTATGTCTAGTCTGTGTTTATAGATCTTTTCTTTGAAGTATATTAAAGACTCAATATCTGTCACTAAAACAAACAAAACACTTAACCTATTAATAGTTGGTTGTTACAAAATAGTGATTGGGCTGTAAAGTACGACATAGGGAATGAAGTCAATAGTACTGTAATTACTATGTGTGGTGCCAGGTGGGTACTTGAAATATTGGGGGTAGCACTTTGTAATGTGTATTATTGTCTAACCACTATGCTGTCCACCTGAAACCCATGCAAAATAACATTGAATATAAACTGTAATTGAAAAATAAAATTTAAAAATTCAACCTTATATACTTAATATTCCCTTTATCTCATAAGGTTACTGTTTTGGCTTTATTTTCTCTACCCTAGATGTGGCTGGTGGTTATTCACCCTCCATTCTTGATGCAATCAGAAGAACAGTGATGGTTTCCAATACCCTTTCATTTACTAAGATAAATGAGAGAAGCCTCACCCTCAAAGAGGTATTCAGACTAGCGACTCTCGGAGGCAGCCAAGGTAATAACCATTTTTTTCCTCTAACAATGTACACCATGCCAATCTGTGTCCTTGGATGCACTATGAAGGTACATGCATCAATGTTCATGACGGTTGCATCTCATATAGCTTACCCCAAACTTAGCAAGTAAGTCCATGTTCAAGCATGTGGTGGAGGCATAATTCTTTCAGGATGCTCCCTTTCTTTGGCAGAAGAGATGATTAATACACAGTTACCATATTAATTGTTTTAATGGATGCATTTGCAATGGTCACATGCATACAAGTTCTTTAAAATAATCAGTTTTTCCACTGAGTCAAGTAATACACTCTATTGCCCCGAGTGAAGATGATGATAATAATACTAATAGTAAAAATATGCCCAGCTGGCATGGCTCAGTGGTTGAGTGTTGACCTAAGAACCAGGAGCTCACAGTTCGATTCCCTGTCTGGGCACATGGATTGTGGGCTCAGTTCCCAGTATGGGGTTTGTGGGAGGCAGACAATCAATGATTCTCTCATCACTGATGTTTCTATCTCTTTCTCCATCTTCTTTCCTCTCTGAAATCAATAAAAATATACTTAAAAAATAAAAATAATAGCCAAGAGCTCTTACTATGTGATAGGCACTATGCAATATGCGTTATATATCTTGTTATTTACCTCCAACCAGTTATTAATTCTATTTAATCAACAAGGTACCTGGTGGAAGCTTACACAGCTCTCAAGCTATACTGTGTCATGATTTGAATCCAAAATCTGCTGCCAGAGTGTAGGCTCTTATCCTTTCACTGTGATACCTTCCTGTGTAAATCCCAGCTTAGAGTATGCATTATTTCTTTCTTTTTTTTTTTTTTGGAGTATGAATTCTTTATGTAATTAAGTACAGTAATTACCCAAGTCTCTTTAAGTGGAGAGAGATGTTGAAATATAGTGGGTTGATATGCAAATATTGTTCACCAGCTTTTCCCAGTTCTCACATGTAACTATTTTTATGGGGGAAAAATAGAAATTAGTAATTGTATTGCTTTCAGTCACTTTAGCATTTTGGTATATTCTAGATGAATGATAGTGAACATAGCATGAAACCTTAGGTAGCTTGTGTGAGATAACAACATACATATCAAGACAAATATAGATAAACTAGAGGCCTGGTGCACGAATTCATACACAGGTGGGTTCCTGAGGGGGATGGGGGGGGGGGCCAGGATGCGATTGGCCCTCCAGGCAGGTGGTGGGATGCCCTTGCCACCCTGGGATCTGGATCCATCCCACTGACATTTGCACTGGTTGTCAGAAGCCACCTGGTAGCCACTTCTATATTGTTTCTTCCTTGCGGAGCTTCTAGGGAGGGGAAGTGGCCGCAGTGCCCAAGGCCAACTTCCAGGAGGCCAGTGGTGCTGGTCTGTCGGTGCCTGGCCCATTCTCCAGAGATTGGACCTGCAGGACTACTGAAGGAGTGAGTGGCTGCCACTGGGCTGGTGGACCACTGGGATGGGTCGGTCAGCTGAGTGGTGCTCTGGCTGTGGGAATGCACTGACCACCAGGGAGCAGCTACTGCATTGAGTGTCTGCCCCCTGGTGGTCAGTGTGCATTATAGGTCGTTCAGTCCTGAAGTCACTTAAGCTTTTATATATATAGATGTGTAGATTTATATATAGCTAATCTGGGTCTTAAAAATGGAGGAGGATGAAAACCAAAAATATCCTGTGAAGAGAAACTTCCTGGCTCTTCTTTGAATGCTCGGGGCTATGATGAATATCATTAAGAACCTTTCAAGACAACCAAGTAGAGGTCATGCTCCTTGCATTTCCAAGGCTTAGGATTTCATGTGAAGCTCCATGTTCTAAGTCACCATTCTTTTAACAAGTGTAGCGCTCCTCACCCCCACCCTCACTGTGTTTGTGCATCTGAGTTCAAGCAGTTGGCCAACCATCTTATTTTCATGGTGCAAATGAGTTTTATTTAAATTGTGCCTTCTTTTTTTTCTTCTGGGCTCTCTGTGAGTTGCTTCATCAAGATTTTTTCTGTCTGATCAAGCCAGCCTAGGGTGCTTACCAACTCATTTCTGCCTTGCTGTATAGCTTCCAAATCCATTTTCTTGGCTGCAGGGCTTACTGTTATGGAATTTCTTCTCCTTAACTCATGTCTCTACAAGAGTCAGAGTGAAATGAGATTAATGGATTCCTATTTAAAGTGTGTCATCTTCCTGGCTTGCCACGACCTTTATATTCAAGATGTTGCATAAATCCCCTTCCCAGAGCCAACATTCACTCTAAAGGCAGCAAAACTGTATTTCCTGAAATGCATTTAAGGTGTTTACCAACCCAGCTGGGCCTTACTGCAATGATGTTAACTAGGTCCATTTACAAATCCACCAAAAGCAATTCTGTCTTCTTTGGTTAGTTCATGCCTGAACTCTCCAGGTTCGAATAAATAGTTCAATTAGTTTATATATATTATCAAACTCTGACAAATGAACCTGGTTATCTGGTCTATTAGACACACAAGTTTATGTTGAATACAGTTATTAAAAACATATTTGTCATGTTTCCTTGTCAAGGGCAAATGGGTGAAGGAGGAGAGAATTTCCAGTGATTTTTTTCTATAACATTCAGTCCTTCTACACACTACTAGTAGAAGTCACCTAACTGCTTTTAACATTTCTAATTATTTTTGCTCCCCTTTCTTCCTATAAGAATTTTTAGCTAAAAAAAAACTTTCTTTTCTGAGAATAAAAGAGGTGCTCTTTAAATAACCTATTAAGAATAAGTAGGGTTTCTAAGTCAGTGATTAGCACATTGCCAATACATATTCATACATCCATCTATACATATATAAAAGCCTATGTGACTGTCAACTGGTAGACTAAACAATCAGTTGTACTGGTCGCTATGATGAGCACTGACCACCAGGGGGCATATGCTCAACACAGGAGCTGCCCCTGATGGTCAGTGCGCTCCCACAGCCAACCTCCCACGGTCCCTCCCCCCAGCCAGCCAGCCCCAATCAGCCCCAATCGCAGGCCAGGCTGAGGGACCCCACCCATGCACGAATTCATTCACTGGGCCTCTAGTAGAAATATAATCTAGGTATTGTCTAACAGGGACATGCCATCCAATATTTTCACATTGGACTGTATCCTGACAGTGAAAGAATAGAAAAAACGCATGTAAGAATTTAAATAAAAGTGCTGCATTCCAGTTGACCCTCCCTTTATGCATGCTTCCATTTCGTACCTCAGTGTATACCTTTCTCAAATTACAGGCTTTCCTGAGCTCAAGATTCAATACCTTCATTGACCAGGAAAGTCAACTGTTCCCATCTTGTGAAACTAAATCATGTTAGTGAAAGAGATGCTCTTTGTCGTCTAATACACATGGAACATGAATGCTAGCCATGAGGTGAATCAAATTAATAGAGACATCAACCTATGCCCTATTTTAGAAAACCATTCTTCTCTGGCAATGAGAAAATCTTTGAGGTTGCAAAGAAATTGGTTTGCTTTTATTTTTTTTTAAATATTTTTATTGATTTTTTTACAGAGAGGAAGGGAGAGGAATAGAGAGTTAGAAACATCGATGAGAGAGAAACATCAATCAGCTGCCTCCTGCACACCCCCTACTGGGGATGTGCCCGCAACCAAGGTACATGCCCTTGACTGGAATCGAACCTGGGACCCTTCAGTCCGCAGGCCGTCGCTCTATCCACTGAGCCAAACCATTTAGGGCTGGTTTGCTTTTAAAGGATTGGGGCTTTTAAGTCATGAGCATCTGTTTATTTTCAGAAGTGAATTTTTTCTCTTCCAAGGATTTAAACTAAGGAACTTATGATGGATATGCCTGCATTGGCCAATGTGCAAAAGGATAATTATTTTTTATTTATTTGAGGTTTATTTCACTGCCATGAAAATAGATCTTGTCAGCTATTTCAGAAAACGAAAGGATCCAGAAGGGCAAGGATGGGAGTGTTGTGGGGGAGACTAGGAGGCAAAAAGAAAAAAGATATGTTGTCAGTTGCCATGTTTCTTGGAGGGATGAATGAAAGTCATAGACCAGCTGGACTATGAAGTGCACTGATAGAGCTGAAATAGAGAGACACTATCAGAATTATGATCATGGTGATGAAGGGAAGTGTTTTTATTCTCAGATTTGCTTGCCCTGTGCTTACTCTGATTTCTGTAAGTCTAAGTCTTGTGACCTGTTGGAATGAGAGAGTTTTTACGCTTCACTATTAAGATACTAATTCTTTTTTTTCTTTTTTTATGTACTTTTTAAAAATTTTGATTTTTACTTCTTGTTGTGTACTTTCTTACTACATTGGAAGTTTCATTTATGCAAGATTAATAATATAAATTAGGAAAATGTATGTTGTTGTTTTTTTTACTAATTCTTTTTCTAGTGACATGTTGGCTGACTTTGTCCTTGCAAACTGGGACATTGACATGGTCTGATGGCTCAAAATACTAACTGTTTATTAATTTATTCCACCCTGTAGCCCTGGGGCTTGACAGAGAAATCGGAAACTTTGAAGTGGGCAAGGAATTTGATGCCCTCTTGATCAACCCCAAAGCATCTGATTCTCCCATTGACCTGTTTTCTGGGGATTTTGTTGGTGACGTAAGTAAAAAAAAAGTTAATCAAAAGGCATCTATTTCCTGAAGTAATCACAGAAGCTTCCTTGTAGAAAACAAAATAGAAACAATCATTTTAATGGAATACAAGAGACTCTTAAGAGGGAAGCTAGATTTTTAAAAGTTAACATAATTTCATGACAATAATGTTAGCAATAATGGTACCAATAGAATATTTGTATTTTGAATATATTTGTATATTTTAATGGTTTGGGCTATAAGAAGCTGTAATATAGCTAGCACTTACTGAATACACTTGCTGGGTGCTAGATGGTATAGCATTAAGCACTTGCATACGTAATTTTGTTTAATGATCAAAACAACTCTTATGAGAGGCAGATACTATTTATATTGCCATGTAATCTGTGGGGCAGTGAGGCTTAGGGAGGCTAAGGATTCATGGCTAGTAATTAGTAGACAGAGTTGGGATTCAAGCCCAGGACTTCATGACTTCCAGAGTCTCGGTGATTGACCACAATGCTACATTGATTTTCTTAATTATAAGAAAATGAGTTTTATTACTTTGTTCCTTTCATTATAAAGTGTTTCCCTATATAGAAAATAAACTGGTTCTTCTTACTTTAATAACAATTAGTTGTAAAATATTGAGTTTTTCTAAAAACATTAATTACCATTTATAAATTGATCCACTTATAAAAGTAAATATGTAAATATAACATAGTAGAGGTTTTTAGAATAAAGATGCTGGTTGTTATTTTTATATTATTTATTCTTTTGCTCCTTTATTAGAATGGATTTCTTGGAATAAGGCTCAGCCCTATTCATTCAATCATTTTTCTTATATACATTTCTTAAAATATTTGCATTATTTCATTAATTAATTTATGTAGCACTTTTGTTCTAAAGTTTCCAAGGTTTTATATACCAAGAACTTTCAGGCAATAGATAAACATTTGTTAATAGTCACAATTTTTTTTTTAAGCAAAAGACCACTTCTTTTTCATTAATAAAAGTAGATTTTACCATTGAGAAATGAATTTATATTTCTGGGTTTTGCCAATCCACTACTGACTGTGAATTTTTCTAAATGCACAAAAATAATTATTTCTTATTATTACCTTTATTTTCCATTTTAGGCTTTTATCCAGAAGTTTCTCTATCTAGGTAAGTAGAAATATGTCTCTATGCTAAATAAAATCTTTCTTTGTCTCTATCTTGGGTATGACTCTGCATTTATGATACCACATGTAAAACCCTATGTGTGATCATTTGCTTTGGTTTTTTAAAAACATTTCTCAGCATGGAGTCCATTTGTGGCACAATATTTAAAGACACAATGTGAAATTGGCATGCTCCTCTAGAACAGACAGTCATAAATCCTAATCTGAGGAGTGGCAGGCCCAGGGGATGGCTAATCATGCCTCTTCCCTCTGCACTCATTCTCCATCCCGAGGCTGCCCGACCAGGTCGTACTCACAATAAGGATGTGGTGGGATCTTTTCACACATGCGTTTTCACATACTCACATTCCGTTGTATTCTCTGAGGGAGGGAAATAAATAATGTACAAGATTCTACTCTGCCGCCCACTCGGTTGAGTGTCCTCTGAGCCCTGAGTGAACTTGGGATGGGAGAGACACCTGTTGCATTCCTTGTGGAACTCCGTTCTCACAGGTCCTGCATCTCACCTCGCTAAGTGTATTCTGGGGTGTAAAGCTAAGTACTTCCTTCACATTTGGGGCCATAAAGGCAAACCACTCACTTCAGCTGAAAGGACGGTGATAGGGGTCAATTCAGCTTTATGTGCTTTCTGCCTTAGTGGCAGATTTCACACCCCAGTCCTCAGTTTAGATGCAGCATCTTCTATTGGTCATGTCCCCCTGTCTATATTTTAAACAATCTGAGAGAAACAAAGGCCGTCTTTTTTATGTTCTCTTTTAGAAGTGTGTTTTGCTTTTAAATATCTCCCAGGGGCAATTAAAATACTTATTTCAGAGGGGAGGAGGATGGGAAGAGATTAACCAAGTAACTTATATACATACATGCATAGCCCATGGACACAGACAATAGTGTGGTGAATGCCTAGGGTGGGGCAGGTGCTGGGTGGAGGGAGCAAAGAGGGGGAAAATGGGGGATATCTTTAATATTCTCAACAACAAAAATATATATACAGGGTATCCCCAAAAATGTGTATATATTTTGAACAATTATATATTCCAATCGGTTAAGTCTGAAAAGAAAGAAACATCAATTGAGCTCTCAGTTGTGCAAGTGTTGTATACATTTTGGGGGGACACTTTGTATATATCTTTAAAAATACTAATTGACACAAAACGGTTCCATGATTTTTTCTTCCAGGAGATGACCGAAATATTGAGGAGGTTTATGTGGGCGGAAAGCAGGTGGTTCCCTTTTCAAGCTCAGTCTAAGACCCTTGGCGTCTCCAAGTTCTCCTGGATAGCGTGGTTCTGCGCCCCCTTATGCCCAGGCAGAGTTAGAACGTCAAAAAATAGTACCTTGTTCTTGGGATGACTGTCTCTTTGTATGCTTACTTACAGTGCTCACTTGACAAATCGAAGGAAGTTTCACTAATTCTCAACTCTCTTGTTGGGAGGATTCAAAATGTATCCCTTCTGAGCTGTTCAGATTTACTTTAAGCTTAAATATAAAAGAATGTTATGACTAGTGGTGTTCTTGTTATGAGATTTAAGTAAAATCTACCTAATATTTGGAAATGTGAAGAGGAAAGATATTCCTGTGAGGTTTGATATTTTGAGCTAGTAAATGTGAAAACTGGATATGGAAAATAAACCAGTGAATATATTTTTGAGGGAGAAAAAGACTACAACCATTGGAAAATCATTTTCAGATTGCTCGACAATTGTATACTGAGCTTACTAATTTAAAAAGAGAACTCATTGAGATGTGAAACGTGTTTCTAGGTTGACTTTGTGTTCTGGAAATTTGCACTTAATGGGATTTGCATTTCAGAGACTTGTTATTGTTGTGCTTTGCCTTCTTTGGGGATGAATCGTCAGAAATTGAATGCCACGTGCTTTCTTCATATAGTTCTGTGCTTCAAAATGTTTGACAGAGTTGGGCAGTAAAGATTTAAAGTCTCTTAGGAATAGTACTCACATAACTGCGTGGCATAAACAGTTGTATTTTTGTGTCCTTTAAGTCACCTTCATGTATAACTGGGCGGCGCTGTTACTGCTTCAGTTTTACTAGAAGAGAAACAAATTCCACACTCCGCTGTTGGGTAGACTGAAGTCTTCATAAATTGGGGACAAGTGCTGGGCACTCACGAGCTGTTAATACTGAAAGGAAGGGTTTCATTGCAATGACCTCGTCTCCCCAAGGACTATGCCAGTGATGGCAAACCTATGACACGCGTGTCAGAGGTGACACGCGAACTCATTTTTTTGGTTGATTTTTCTTTGTTAAATGGCATTCAAATATATAACATAAATATCAAAACTATAAATCTTTGTTTTACTATGGTTGCAAATATCAAAAAATTTCTCTATGCGACACGGCACCAGAGTTAAGTTAGGGCTTTTCAGAATGCTGACATGCCGAGCTCAAAAGGTTCGCCGCCACTGGCCTATGCCATAGTCGTTGGCAATTTCATACTCGGATCAATCTGTTAGAACTTTTAAATGAAGGCAAATCCTATTAAAAGAAATATTAAAACTCTAAACCTTGCATATCGCAGGCACTCTATTTTCCAAATTTTATCCTATCGTAGGACATTAGAGTTTTAGTATAGTGAAAAATATGTAGACATCCCACATAATGTTTATATTAATAGGACATAATCTGCACCAGACATCTAGGAAGATTAAGCAAAGCAAGGAGTATTTTTCTGCCTCCTAACTAATTAGGGTACTGTCCCATAACCTAGAATTAAAAGCAAATTATGACTATGATAAATCCTTTACAAGTATTGATGTGAATGCTATTTAAATACTATATTTTTCTCCTTTAATTTCAAATAATATAAACTAACAATGAAAAGGAGTAGGTTTTCTTAATATTTCATAGCACTTATTAATACCTTATAATAGAGAACTTTATGCTACAGAGCTAACTCCATATATAGAGAAGTAAGGACAAAATTCTCCCTCTTGCATATAATTTTATTCTCATATAATCATGCTTATTCAGCAGTAATTTGCCCAGTTATTGTTGTTGTTTTTCCTTTGTGGAAGCACTTTTAGAGTTGACAAATATTTAGTTTGATTTTTTTCAATGACAGATTTTTTTTTTTAGGATATTAAAAAACTCAGTAAATCTAATTTCTAGTCTCAACAGCTGTATTTCCAGAATCCCTGCGCCATGTCAAAGACGGCCCACCAGACTTCTCCCCATTCCTCTGCAGTGCCGGCATGAGTTTTCTGCTCTATCTCTTAATCCGTGCCACAGGAACTCAACTACCTGGTGTTTGACCCACAAGAGTGGGCTTAGGAATTTGGACGAGCTATTCAAGATTCACGAACAGGCAGCAGCTGTCCCCAGCCTTTGCAAGATCCTATATTTTTACCTTCCTCAAGGGTGTACATTTTAAGGTTGAACATCAGTTTTCATTTAGATTTAGGATTCATATGCAGTAAGTATAAATAAGTGTAGTGTCAGAAGCAGGAAGAACGGCCATAGACAAGCACTTTGTCAAATGTTAAATTTAGCCCTGATAGTATGTTAAGACCTGAATATCTTGTCTAATAAATATAGAATGTCTTGAAATGTGACATGTGCTTTGATCTTCCTACACCGCTTAGAACTTGTGTGCTTTATCCTCCAAGTGCCGCGTTCCTGAATGGTGCATATGCTCTTTGCAGTACTTCGGGCCTTAGCCATACATGGGCCCAGATGTTCTGCACTTTGAAATGTGGCCTTTGCCTAATGTGGGTTGACTTGCTGAATTGTGGGGAGACAGTACCCCCAGCCAATTCTGTTTGTTGTTTTGTGTTTAAATATTTTGCTTTCAAACAGGAAAGAATTAACACTTCTAATCAGCCCCCTCACTTCACCCTACACTCTTTTGCCTCAGGTTTTGTGGAGTTTTTAATGGAGTACACGTTAAGAGGCCAAAACATTTCCAGTAGGATCGACTGCCATACATTTAAAAGAATATGTTTGCAATTAGAACACAAAAGCAGGCTAATCAGCTAAGATGAATTTAATTTTCAAAAGAGAGTGAGCCCTAACCGGTTTGGCTCAGTGGATAGAGCATCGACCTGCAGACTCAAGGGTCCCAGGTTCGATTCCGGCCAAGGGCATGTACCTTGGTTGCAGGCACATCCCCAGTTGGGGGTGTGCAGGAGGCAGCTGATCGATGTTTCTCTCTCATCAATGTTTCTAGCTCTCTATCCCTCTCCCCTCCTCTCTGTAAAAAATCAATAAAATATATCAAAAGAGAGTGAAACATGGAGGAGGGCGCGAGAGGTTGTCCTAGTCTTCGTGAACTGAGGCCAAGGAGGCTCGGCTCTCATTTATTCTCCCAGCTTTTTCTCTGATTCAATTGTTAAAGGTTCGAGAATCTAGGAGGATATCTCGGAATAAGCTCCCTTCATGGCAGCAGGAGGTCTTTCTAAATTGATACCATGAGCATCAAACCCCATTGACTCTCTGTTTTACTGCCATGAGAGTTCTGCACAGTTAGGAAAGGAAGGCGGTAGGGAAACACTCCTGCGTGCTTTGCGGATGTTGAAGTGTGCCTTCAGTATCCCTGTTGGCAGCTAGAGCTGAGACGTCAGAGAGGAAACAAGGGGTGTGAGGTCCAGGAACGTATTTTGAATCTTCACTCCTTTCCAAATTCTTCCTATTTTGAATCGTTTCATCTCAGAAGCAGACATATGGGAAGCCTGAAGGGCAAGCTGGAAGGCACGTTGGAGCCGGTCTATCTTACACATGGAAGAGATGCAGCATCAGGTGCTTCTGTAGCCTATTGGACACCGTGTCATTGTTGTCCAAGTTTTGAAGCTGCTGATGAGGCCAGAAACGTTCACATGTTTAATAAGAGTGTTCCGAGTCATGAAAAGGTGGACTAATAAATGTGGCATGTCCAAAGTCTTGGCATTAAGTTTTAAATGGTGTGCATCATTGTGAAAATTTTTTTCCCTGAAGGCTTACAAGAGACATTTGCAGTTTCCAATTGACCTAGCCATTTTAGGTATGACTTTGAACCCTGACACACTTTAATGCCTCTACAGGAAAATCATGGAAAGAGGCGCACAAATGAATAGACAGTCTTAGGAAACCCTGGCATTGGTCCCCATGCGTGTTTTCATGCCCAGGCCCTCCTCCCTTTTTCTCCCACAGCCCCGAGTGTGCGGGGGGAAGTACTGAGGGGTTAGTTCTGGTCCAGATTTCGTGAAATGCAAACGCTGAACAGAGTAATGATGAAGCTAAATATATATAAATCCCAAGGTGGCTTTCACCGTCCTTGGGGATCAAGAGACTGAGTACCGGTGTTATATGGCAGTAATTACCTGTCCATTTCCTCCTCAAAAGCCTGTCAGAAAGCGTTCTTTATTGAAAACCACTTCACATTGTTGTCAAACTCCTGATTGCTGCTCTGAAGAATAAATATCTATATGTATGTATTCATGGGGACGTTTTTCTCAAAATTTGTGTGGTTTGCTTATTGTTTATGTGCAGGGTGAGCTCCTTTGTGCTTTAGAAAAAATAAATGCGATTTTGTGTTTACATTATTTTCTTGTTGTGAGTTCTATCGATCTGATAGAAGGGGGTTAATCTTACAATGTTTTTCTCCTTTTAACATGAATTTTAAAAACCAGAACAGAATATTTAGCCTTGGGCCACCATATGTCTTCCAACCTATGATAATCACTATACATAGCTTTTAAAAATTAAGGTCTAATGTTCAGCCCTTTAGACTCATAATGCTACTGCTTTTGATTTCAGCATAGTTAATATTTAATATGTGTTTTAAGCCTCAACCCAGAGCGAGAATGCTTTAACATCGAGAATTAGTTTACATGCCCTGGCCAGTGTTGCTCAGTGATTAGAGCATCGGTCAGTCTACCAAAGCGTCCAGGGGTTGATTCCTGGTCAAGGGTGCGTAGCTGGGTTGCAAGTTTGATTCCTGGTCCTGGCTGGGACGTGTGCAGGAGGCAACCAATCAATGTGTCTCTCTCACATCTCTTCTCTCTCTTTCTCTGTTTCTCTCCCTCCCTTCCACTCTATCTTCTACGTAAAAATCAATGTAGAAATATCCTTGGGTGAAGATTAATAACAACAACAACAAAAAGAATTAGTTCACACATACATGTATATTAAAAACAAAAATCTCAAAAATAACAAATTTCCTATCTCTGATGGCCTGGGCTATTTTCTGCACTATTTTATTCTGTTCTGTCCTATTCTTTTATATTTTATCTGTTTAATCATTTTTATTCTGTTTAATTATTTTTGGTTTCTTGAAGCTGCATGGAAGCAGTTTCCAGTGTCCTTGAGCTTATACACTCAGTCTCCGTGCCTCCATCCTGTGATTTGGGCATGACATGCACCCCTGCCTTAGAGTCATGAGAGCCAAATAAGCGAATCCATAGCCAGCACTTAAGATAGCACCAGGACAAACTGAGTGCTCACCATAGAGTAGTTACTTTTTAAATGAATACACACTGAACAGAAACAAAAATAATTTTAAATGTATTTTTATCAGTCTAGTTTTTAGAACCTTAATCAGGTGATGCTACAGATCGCTCTGTACATAAAAATATCCTTTAAGGATTAAATCTGATTTAGGGGCACTATTATGTTCATTATTTTTTATTTATAACATGAAGCATAAGAGAGTAGTAGATTTGGTCTATAAATTCACCCTCAATGTTCTAAGCACTTACTAGGCACCTTTTCCCCCCCTCCTAAAGAACAACTTAGTTAAAATACCCAGAAGAGAATCTTTATGTGCATTATCTTGCAAAATGTGTGCCTCATTTACATACTGTGGGCGCTGTGAGTTCTGTAATAGGTAATGAATAGATACATGCAAATTACTGCATGGTACTAAATCCAATATTTAAATAAAATAAAGTTTAGACATAAAACAGGGCCAGTGGTAGGATATTTTAAGGCTCCATTGGGGAAGCCTCTCAGTTAAAGGCACAAGACCCACAAGTAGTTGTCACCAACAGGAGGAGGTTTTTTGTATTTTGTTTTTTCAAAATCTTATTTTAAAATGGGATAAGTGAAGAATTGTCTGTTCTTTAACGTGATAGAACATTATTTTAACGTATAATTATTTTTTTTTCACTAATTCATACTCATGTGCTTTTACCATCAAGCTTGCCTACACCATCATGGTAAAATTACATTAAATTTGTCATACTTCCATATTTTTTCATGCCTCTATATTAGTTGAGTTTATATCTTGGGTAAGAAACAAGGTCACTATAAAAGCATTCTCTATAGCAAAACCTTTGTTGGGAAATTTTTCAGTGGTAACTCAGAAAAAAACCACTTTATTTATTTATTTATTTATTTGGCCTTAATGTAAAAAGTGATAAAATACAAACAGATGACATGAAGTTTTTCTCAGGCCGCTTGGACTCCCCCTCGATTGCCTAAATTCTGCCCATCCCTATAGGAAATCAAGCAAACATCGGTTTCCCCATCTTCAGCCCTACAGCAAATTAGATTGATAGCCGTAAAATCTAAGTAAATGTAAGAGAAATAAAGGCCCTAGAAGGATTTTTCTTTAGTCACATAACAAGAAGTTCTCATACGCTTGCTTGAAATCTGACACTTGTAGCTTCACTGTGAAATTAATTTCTGCCCTTTTTTTTTTTTTTATTAGTTAAGGTATTACAAATGTGTCCTCATCCCCCCATTAACCCCCAACCTCCCCCCCACACACAAACTCATGCTCCCATCCCCCCGTTGTCCATGTCCATTGGTTTGGCTTATATACATGTATACAAGTCCTTCGGTTGATCTCTTCCCCTTACCCTCGCCCTCCCCTACTTTCCTTCTGGGGATTGATAGCCTGATCGCTGTTTCTCAGTCTTATCTTGGGCGGTCTCTGCTGTCAAATGAAGCCACAGCCCCCAAATGAATAGCCCACGGGAGAGTTTTACTCTTGTGTTTTGTTTTGTTTTTCCTAAATTTGCTTCCCGGAGCACTTGAAAGACTTTAAACAGCTTTGGTGTTTTGTTTTGTTTTGTTTTCTTCCTGAAAAAACCGATTCCATCCATACCTGAGTTTGGGAACAAAGATAGGGATGTCTTTGTGTTTGGAAAGTACTTTGAAAGCCTTGACTGAAGCACATAGACAAATACTGACATGAGGGGCTTTTGTTATTTCAAAGGATAAATTAAGAGGCTCGGAAAAAGCAGTGAATGCACTTCTTTCAAGTCATGGAAACTTTCCTGCTGGCAGAACAATGAAAGAGGAATCAGGCCTGGCAAATTATGTATTCTGGATTAATTTACATAAATTACAATAAACCCTTCCGCATCGCGAACATGTCCTGGCTCAATCCAATAGCATGCTATGCATCCAGGAAATCTTGTATTTATGATAACAGGTATGGTATTCATGAGTAAAGTAGTATGGGTGTAAAAGAGAAGCGATGGAATTTAGGTTGTTTGGGGTAGTTGTTATTTTAAACTCAGTGATAGATTTTTTTAAAAAAATATTTTTATTGATTTCTTACAGAGAGGAAGGGAGAAGGATAGAGAGTGAGAAACATCGATCAGCTGCCTCCTGCACACTCCCCACTGGGGATGTGCCTGCAACCAAGGTACATGCCCCTGACTGGAATCGAACCTGAGACCCTTGAGTCCTCAGGCCGATGCTCTATCCACTGAGCCAAACCGGTCAGGGCTAGATTTTTTTTTTTATATCCAGGACAATTGTGCAATCTCTTGCACATCCTGGTGATTATTTAGGGTAACTTACAGGAGGAAGAAACCTCATTATGTAGAAACATGCACAAAATCATGTTCTGTATAAAATTACCACCCAAGTAAAATAAGAAAGAGATCAACTTAAATGCATATAAAAGCTTCATTTAATGTCATTTGTGGTGCTGTGGACCTTTTAACATGGTATAATTGTTTCTAAAAGAAATCTCAATCAGCCAGGCTCCCCTGAGACGTACACAGCTGTTCTCTCATGCTTTTCATGTGTTGGTAAAATTGAATACTTGAAATTAGTTGCTTTTTTAACAAGTTAGAAACCCATACATGCAGAAAGCATAAATCATCGTCAATTAAGTAATTTTCATTAACTAATCATGAGGTTGGTAAATTTTAAACCATATTCATCCAAGTGAT